GTGTGGAGATAAAATGGGGAAAAGATTTATGTCCCCTTGTGCCCCCTGGAGGACAGCCAGGAAAAAATACAAGTGCTACTTGAACGTATTCATTTGTTTGTTTCGAAAATGTCTATGTTGCCTCTCCAGAGAACCTGCTCAAGGCAGCTCACGAAAGTTCGGTCTTTTGCATTAAGCAGTCCTTTGTGGCAAATTCTCAAGAACTCCTCATGAGTTTAAGGCTCTTAGTGGTCAGGGACCCACATACCTTTGGGACTGCCTCAATATCACCCCCAACAGAGCATCATGCTTGGGTAGCAAAAATCTCCTGGTGGTCCCTGACCTGAGAATGATATGGCTGACCACAACTAGGGCCAGGGATCTTTCAGCACTTCCCCCCCAGTGAAACTCTCTGCTGGAGAACATCCATGCCCTTTGTAATTTATTACCTTTCCACAGGGCTTGTAATACAGAGATGTTCTGTCAGGCATTTGATTGAGGACAGTAATGGGACAACAAGTAGTCTGGTGCTTTTAGGTCTTCCATACCCCCTCACATTTCCCCCTCCTTAGGAAGCTATGGGAAGTTGCAATTTTCTGTCAAAATTCCTTGCGACCTTGGAATAGCCTGTTTTATTTACTGACTTTGTACTGTATTTTATTAATGTTGTAAACTGCCCTGAGCCCTGTGCATAGGAAATGGAAGCCTAAAGGTCCAAATAACACACACACACACTAAATCATATTTTTTAAAAAAAAATACAGTGAAAAAGATCTCCCACATCAAAGGAAGTCCTGAAAAAAATCTTTTGAATGTGCACAATCATGCCTCATGTTTCTGTTTCTTTCAGATATGGTTGATTGTGTCATATGCCCAGTAGATCAATATCCAAGCAAGGACAGAGATGGATGCATCTTCAAAAGCATTAGCTTCCTGTCGTATGATGAACCTTTAGGGGCTGCTCTAGTCTCATTTATTGTTTCCTTTTCCCTTATCACGATATTCGTGCTAGGGATTTTTATAAAGTGGAGAGAAACACCCATTGTTAAAGCCAACAACAGGGATCTCACCTACACTCTCCTGGTTTCCTTACTGCTCTGCTTCCTCTGTTCTTTGCTGTTCCTTGGACAACCTTGGAAGGTGACCTGCTTACTCCAACAAGCTGCTTTTGGTATCATCTTCTCAGTGGCTGTTTCTTGTTTGTTGGCTAAAACAATCACTGTTGTTGTAGCTTTCATGGCCATCAAACCAGGATCCAAGATGAGGAAATGGGTGGGGAAAAGATTGACCAACTCCATTGTCCTTTTCTGTTCCTTTATACAATCAGCTATATGTATCATATGGTTAGGAACATCTCCCCCTTTCCCAGATTTCGATATGCAGTCACTGACTGAAGAGATTGCAGCCAAATGTAATGAAGGGTCTGTCACCATGTTTTACACTGTCCTGGGCTACATGGGACTTCTTTCCATCATCAGCTTGATTGTGGCTTTTCAAGCAAGGAAGCTGCCAGACACTTTTAATGAAGCCAAGTTCATCACTTTCAGTATGCTGGTCTTTTGCAGTGTTTGGCTGTCTTTTGTTCCAGCCTACCTGAGCACCAAAGGGAAATACATGGTAGCTGTGGAGATCTTCTCTATATTGGCTTCCAGTGCTGGGTTACTCGGTTGTATCTTTCCCCCCAAATGCTACATTATGATTCTGAGGCCTGAGCTGAACAACAAGGAGCAGCTAGTAAGGAGAAGAGTTTAAAAACATCAGCTGTTGTGCTATAGTTATAGGTTTTATGTTATCTGTGAAATCAATGAGATGGGCAAGTTTTTATAGTTACTTGGCTGCCATATAGGTCAATAATATACCTTTGTAAGTTTGCAATAAACATAACATGCATGTGGCATGTGTATATGAAGAAAGAACTGAGAATTAAAATTGTGGTTGATTTGATGAAGAAAAATGCAAAAAAAAATGGTAAGAGGATAATTGTTATTTTTAGTCTCTCACAGTGCCACTGGTCTTGTGTTTTCTTAGAACAGAAAGAGACATTTGCCAATACACCATGCTCAGTTTTGCAGCATCGTTTGCAACATAAGACTGTGTGAAGGTGGTAACTGTTTCAATATGACTTCAATTGCTTCATTCCTAGCAACCGGTATTCTGCTCTCAAAGTCTTCTATAACTACATAATCCTAAATTGCCATCCTCCAAAAAGATAGGTTGAGATGAGCAACGGAGAACTTTACTGGACCAAGCATTTGAATAACATCAGGGCCACGTCAAAAAAGGGCTTTCCCATCTCCCAGCTTAGCTGATTGTGAGATAGTTTGGTCCTCCTTCCTTAGAACTGAAGAGAATGCTTCAGTACTGTGTGGAACTTGGGAAAAGGCTGGAACATTGTTTTCTGAAACATTGAATACACCCAGGGTTCATTTCCTACAGGAGCACACAGGAGCAAAGCTTCGGCAGTAAGGAGCCCAGGGGGTGGGTACATGCAACAGGCCCTGCCCCCCCACCTTTCCTGGCCCACTGGCCAACCCAGCTGTCACAAGCTAACCCTCGAGCTGCTCCGCCATTGCCTGGGACATGGTACCCAGCCTGGCCAGGCTCTGCCCATCCTCAGGCCAGCCCTGGTGCAGCGCCTCTGCAAGGTGGGCCCCAGCTACTCCCGTGAGGCCTGCGAGGAGCTCCACCCTGGCCTCCTGCACCTACTTGGCCTCCTCCTGTACCTCTGCCCCGCCACCACCCTTGACCCCTATCTGCTCAAGGTCATGTGCATCCTCCACACGGCCCTCCTTGACCCACAAGCAGCCACACACTTTCCTGCATTGCTGGCCATCCAAAAGAGTCCAGTGGCACATTTAAGACCAAGGTTTATTCAGGTGCAAGCTCTCCCTCCTCTGTGAGGGCAGATCTGCATGTGCCCCCCCCATAACTAGAAATCCAAAAGAGTCCAGTGACACCTTTAAGACAAAGGTTTATTCAGGTACAAGCTCTCCTCTCTGAGGGCAGATCCGTGCATCCCCCCCCCCATAGCTAGCAATCCAAAACTGTCCAGTAGAGCCGGTGGGTGTTGCCTCCTGACACACTTCTTATGATGTTAGGGTGTGTGGCATGTGCAAATAAATTATGCTAATGAGTTATGCTAGATCCTGCACCTCTTTTTCTACGAAATGACCCCTGAATACACCTACATTGAATTTACTCGTTTACCCATGGTTCCTTTGAAATGAAATGTAGACCTCCTTTTTGCAGTTACTAAAAGCAACACAACATCCCTAATAGGGAAGGGCATGGACCACAAACATGTGGTTCATTTTGGTTCACAATCTAACAATAAACTGAACTGTGAACCAAAATGAAACAGAGGCTCCCAGGCAAACCAAAGTGGTTTTGTGGTTTGTGGCTCCCAGAAAACCACATTGAAAGGGACCACAGTTCTTTTAAAAGGGGTTCAAAGAAAGACAGAAAAACAGATGAGTGGCGGGGAGCAACCTGTTCCCTACTACTCAGTTATTTTTCAGGCTTTCTTATGCTGTCCCTTTAACCTTGGAATAGCCTGTTTTATTTACTGACTTTGTACTGTATTTTATTAATGTTGTAAACTGCCCTGAGCCCTGTGCATAGGAAATGGAAGCCTAAAGGTCCAAATAACACACACACACACTAAATCATATTTTTTAAAAAAAAATACAGTGAAAAAGATCTCCCACATCCAAGGATGTCCTGAAAAAAATCTTTTGAATGTGCACAATCATGCCTCATGTTTCTGTTTCTTTCAGATATGGTTGATTGTGTCATATGTCCAGTAGATCAATATCCAAGCAAGGACAGAGATGGATGCATCTTCAAAAGCATTAGCTTCCTGTCATATGATGAACCTTTAGGGGCTGCTCTAGTCTCATTTATTGTTTCCTTTTCCCTTATCACGATATTCATGCTAGGGATTTTTATAAAGTGGAGAGAAACACCCATAGTTAAAGCCAACAACAGGGATCTCACCTACACTCTCCTGGTTTCCTTACTGCTCTGCTTCCTCTGTTCTTTGCTGTTCCTTGGACAACCTTGGAAGGTGACCTGCTTACTCCAACAAGCTGCTTTTGGTATCATCTTCTCAGTGGCTGTTTCTTGTTTGTTGGCTAAAACAATCACTGTTGTTGTAGCTTTCATGGCCATCAAACCAGGATCCAAGATGAGGAAATGGGTGGGGAAAAGATTGACCAACTCCATTGTCCTTTTCTGTTCCTTTATACAATCAGCTATATGTATCGTATGGTTAGGAACATCTCCCCCTTTCCCAGATTTCGATATGCAGTCACTGACTGAAGAGATTGCAGCCAAATGTAATGAAGGGTCTGTCACCATGTTTTACACTGTCCTGGGCTACATGGGACTTCTTTCCATCATCAGCTTGATTGTGGCTTTTCAAGCAAGGAAGCTGCCAGACACTTTTAATGAAGCCAAGTTCATCACTTTCAGTATGCTGGTCTTTTGCAGTGTTTGGCTGTCTTTTGTTCCAGCCTACCTGAGCACCAAAGGGAAATACATGGTAGCTGTGGAGATCTTCTCTATATTGGCTTCCAGTGCTGGGTTACTCGGTTGTATCTTTCCCCCCAAATGCTACATTATGATTCTGAGGCCTGAGCTGAACAACAAGGAGCAGCTAGTAAGGAGAAGAGTTTAAAAACATCAGCTGTTGTGCTATAGTTATAGGTTTTATGTTATCTGTGAAATCAATGAGATGGGCAAGTTTTTATAGTTACTTGGCTGCCATATAGGTCAATAATATGCCTTTGTAAGTTTGCAATAAACATAACATGCATGTGGCATGTGTATATGAAGAAAGAACTGAGAATTAAAATTGTGGTTGATTTGATGAAGAAAAATGCAAAAAAAAATGGTAAGAGGATAATTGTTATTTTTAGTCTCTCACAGTGCCACTGGTCTTGTGTTTTCTTAGAACAGAAAGAGACATTTGCCAATACACCATGCTCAGCTTTGCAGCATCGTTTGCAGCATAAGACTGTGTGAAGGTGGTAACTGTTTCAATATGACTTCAATTGCTTCATTCCTAGCAACCGGTATTCTGCTCTCAAAGTCTTCTATAACTACATAATCCTAAATTGCCATCCTCCAAAAAGATAGGTTGAGATGAGCAACGGAGAACTTTACTGGACCAAGCATTTGAATAACATCAGGGCCACGTCAAAAAAGGGCTTTCCCATCTCCCAGCTTAGCTGATTGTGAGATAGTTTGGTCCTCCTTCCTTAGAACTGAAGAGAATGCTTCAGTACTGTGTGGAACTTGGGAAAAGGCTGGAACATTGTTTTCTGAAACATTGAATACACCCAGGGTTCATTTCCTGCAGGAGCGCACAGGAGCGAAGCTCCGGCACTAAGGAGCCCAGGGGGTGGGTACATGCAACAGGCCCTGCCCCCTGTTCTCAGCAGGCCCCCTCACCTTTCCTGGCCTGCTGGCCAACCCAGCTGTCACAAGCTAACCCTCGAGCTGTTCCGCCACTGCCTGAGCCATGGTACCCAGCCTGCCCAGGCTCTACCCATCCTCATGCCAGCCCTGGTGCAGCGGCTCTGCAAGGTGGGCCCCAGATACTCCCGTGAGGCCTGCGAGGAGCTCTACCCTGGCCTCCTGCACCTACTTGGCGTCCTCCTATACCTCTGCCCCACCACCTCCCTGGTCCCCTACCTGCTCAAGGTCATGTGCATCCTCCACGCCGCCCTTCTTGACCCACAAGCAGCCACACACTTTCCTGCTTTGCTGGCCATCCAGAAGAGTCCAGTGGCACCTTTAAGACCAAGGTTTATTCAGGTGCAAGCTCTCCCTCCTCTGTGAGGGCAGATCTGCATGTGCCCCCCCCCATAGCTAGAAATCCAAAAGAGTCCAGTGGCACCTTTAAGACCAAGGTTTATTCAGGTACAAGCTCTCCTCTATGAGGGCAGATCTGCGCATCCCCCCCCCCATAGCTAGCAATCCAAAACTGTCCAGTAGAGTCTGAGCGGTGGGTGTTGCCTCCTGACACACTTCTGGTGATGTCAGGGGGTGTGGCCTGTGGAAATAAATTATGTTAATGAGTTATGCTAATGAGCTCCTGCACCTGTTTTTCTACAAAATGACCCCTGCATGCACCTAAATTGAATTTACACTTTTACCCATGGTTCTTTTGAAATGAAATGTAGACCTCCTTTCTGCAGTTACTAAAAGCAACACAACATCCCTAATAGGGAAGGGCATGGACCACAAAAATGTGGTTCATTTTGGTTCACAGTACAATTCATGATGAATTTGCTTCAAGGTTCAGTTCGTGCCCATCTCTAACCCCATTCTACCTTGCTGTTTGCTCTGGAGCTGTCTGTGGCAGGCATATTCCATCCAAATTCATGCTAGGAGCCCCAAATTGTTTACTAAATTTAGATGGACAGTTAGAGTTGCAGTGTCGAAACTGAAGGGAAATGGATCATCTTCACACAGATGAATTCCTCATCATCCCTAAGAACATAAGAGATGCCAATGTTGGATCAGGCCAAGGGCCCATCCAGTCCAACACTTTGTATCACACAGTGGCCAGAAATACCAGTGCCATCAGGAGGTCCACCAGTGGGGCCAGGACATTAGAGGCCCTCCCACTTTTAACCCCCCAAAGGACCAAGATGACAGAGCATCACTTGCCCCAGAGTCCCTATCTATACCTTGTGGCTAATAGCCACTGATGGACCTCTGCTCCATATGCTTATCTAATTCCCTTTTGAAGCCGTCCATGCTTGTAGCCGCCACCACTTCCTGTGTCAGTGAATTCCATGTGTGAATCACTCTTTGGGTGAAGAAGTACTTCCTTTATCCGTTCTAACCCGACCACTCAGCAATTTCATGGAGTGCCCATGAATTCTTGTATTGTGAGAAAGGGAGAAAAGTACCTCTTTCTCTACCTGCTCTATCCCTCTGCTATTTGCAATGAAATCAAAGGTTTGCTCATGAGAAGGCAGGGAAGTACAGGCAGCACTGACAGTGAGGGTGGAAAATATAACCTCTGTGATGAAACCAAGAGGGTTTAATGACCCCCCTGCCCTATGAGGATCTGTGTTGTTTAATGGTTGGATATTGGACTGAGGGGGTCAAGAAGACCCAAAGTGGAATCCCTTTTCTGTCATGTAAGGTTGTTGGTTGTCTTTGGGCCATGCACATCCTATCAGCCAGTCCTATCTCACAGAGTTGTTGCTATGAGAATGAAATGGAAGACAGGAAAACAATATGAACAATTTAGGTCCTCACTATGTTTTATTTCATTTTTAAAAACACTTCTATGCCACCTTTCCACTGAAACAGGGTCCCCAGAATGGCAAACAGCAAGACATTAAAATATTTCAACATTAAAACACCATTTAAAATAAAGTCTACATAAAACAATCCCATAAACACAGAGAAAAATACATGGGAAGAGAACACTAATGGAGAACACACATATTGAGAAACTGCAGCCAACACCATCCAAGTGCCTCCCATATAAGCATTGAGGGGGAAAGAAAGTCATTCATGAGGACTCACACATACATCATATTCTTCTCCTTTGTTTCTCACATCCCCAATCTTTGATTATCTCACTTCCTTAAGAACTGAATAAGAGCCCTGGTAGATCAGACCAGAGGACCATCCAGACCAACATCCTGTCTCTCGCAATGGCCAAGCAGTTACTCTGGAGGGCCAACAACAGGGTGTAGAAGCTGAGAACCTCTGCTGATATTGCCTCCTGGCTCTGGTATTCAGAGCTTTACTGCCTCTGAAGGTGGAGGCTCCCTTTAATCACCATGCCCAGAAGTCACTGATAGACTCAACCTCCATGCATCTATTTAATCTGTTTTAGTTTAATCTCTATTCCTATATATTTGTCTCATTCTCTAGTCATTTCTATGCATGCTCTTTTTCAATTACAGAATGTTCAGGGATAGGTATGGAAAAAGTGTACCCTGGTTATGCAGTAGAGGAAGGAAAAAACTTAGAATCGATCCTAACTTTTTTCAGATGTACATATGAGAAATTAATTGTTACTGGAAAGGAAAACAGTGGATGACACCCACTCTTCAGTTCCCACTGTCCTTTGATCATCTAAGCATGCATTCTTCACTCATGCAATAAAGTTAACTCTGAGTTTTGTACTGAAGACAAATAACTCTCCAGCCTCATTCATGGCACTCTCTGTGTCACTGGAGCCAAGAGAAAGAAGTACTGAAGAATTAATGGGCTGGATCCAGACCCACCCCCCCAACTGAAGCCCACTGATCTCCACAAAATGCTGTTCCTGGTAGGACTCCCAAGTCCAGGTTTGGAAATCCCTGGAGATTTAAGAATGGATCTGAGGGGGGCAGGTATCTCAGCTGAGTGTAATGCCATAGACTCAACACTCCAAAGTAGCCATTTTCTCCAGTGGGACTGATCCCTGTAGTCTGGTGATCAACTGTAAATCCAGGAGATCTCTAGGACCCACTTGGAGATCAGTAAAGCTATTTTGGGGGGCATGGGGGACACTGAAAAATGGTGTAAGAAAGAAGCCAAAAACAGTGGAGATTGTAGGTTTCATGCTAATGTAACATAACCGTCATTAGGCAATAGCAAGGTTATTTTTTTCTTTTTTAAATGTAATAGAATTTTAGAGTTTTTAAAAGGCCTCCCAGGGTCATCTAGTCCAACCCACTGCACAATGCATGGAATTCACAAATACATCCCCCACACACACCCCAGTGGCCCCTGCTCCATGCCCAGAAGAGGGCAAAAGAAAAAGGGGGAAAACCTCCAGGATCCCTGGCCAAATTGGCCTGGTGAAAATTGGTTCCGAATCCTTTTGTTTTTAACTGCCCCCCAAAGGGGCAGGATTTTATTGCATTTTCCACATAACATACACAAACAAACATAACATATACATACATATACACACATACTAACCTACAAACAAATACATGGAGGTTATTCTTAATTCTACCAATATTTATACTAATACGTATTCCGCCTTAATATCAATTTCTGATGAACTGTGTAAGCAACTTTTCTGTCTCCATCATCCTAACAGGTATATATTTCATTTAGTAAACTATTGGTCTGTCTCTTGCAAGCTTGCCTACATATGTTTGTCATACCAGTTATAAAACCGTGACCAAGTATTCTCAAATGTCAAATCTTGTTGTGCCTTTTATCAATAAAGTCAATTTGTCCAATTCCGCAGCCTCTAAGATTTTGCTTACAAGTTCTCATTTTGCTGGTATCTCCAGTAATTTCCAATATTTTGTATAGAGAATTCTTCCAGCCGTAGTTAAAAAAAACAATCAAATAGCGATCATCTTTGTTAGAATTATCAGGTAGAATATTCAACAACAAAGCCTCTGGTGTAAATGGTACTACAGTCCCTAATACCTTTTGCAAGATTTCGTGTACCATTACCCAATATTTCTGAGATCTTTCACAATGCCACCACATGTGGTAAAATGAGCCAACCTTATTTTCACATTTCCAACACGTATTAGAACATTTTAGGTCAATTTTAGCTAACCTTTCAGATGTTACATACCATCTATAAAATATTTTGTATATATTTTCTTTATACGAAATAGCTTTCGTAATCCTAATATTTTTCTTTCATATTTGATCCCATTGCTCAAATTTAATAGCATGCCCAATATTCCGAATCCTGACCCCTAAGTGGCAATCCGCATTTCTCTGGGCATTCAAAAAAGGGCCAGAAGAACTAAGCATTGATGAAACCCTTCCTGTCCTCCCTTCTTGTGATCTGCCTAAGTTCACAGAATCAGTATTGCTGTCAGATGGCCATCTAGCATCTGTTTAAAAACTTTCAATGAAGGAGAGCCCACCACCTTCCAAGGAAGCCGGTTCCACTGAGGAACCTCTCTAACTGTCAGGAAGTTCTTCCTAATGTTTAGCCAAAAACTGTTTTGATTTAATTTCAACCCATTGGTTGGTGTCCAACCTTCTGGGAACAACAGAAAACAACTCTGCACCATCCTCTATATGACAGCCCTTCAAATACTTGAAGATGGTTATCATATCACCTCTCAGTCATCTTGTCTCCTGGCAAAACATATCATTTTATTATATATTGGCTTTGTTTAGACATCTGCCTATGTGAGACTAAAGGATGTTTTAAGGAAGCCAAAATAAATCCTAGAGTAGGCTCATTGTCCTTGTTCTGAAAAAGATATAAACAGAAAGAGAGAGAGGGGGAGAGAGAGAGAGAGAGAGAGAGAGAGATGAATTATAGATTCTTAATTTTTTCTCATGAAGTGATTCTTCTGATTGACGTCAGGCCGCAGCATGATTACATAGCACTTGAGGGAAAAGATACAAGTCAGTAAGCCAGTACTGGAAACCAAGATGGAGAAGATCTCCACAGCCACCATCTGTTTCCCTTTGGTGCTCAGATACGTTGGAACAAAACACAACCAAACACTGCAAAACATCAGCATGCTGAAAGTGATCGATTTGGCCTCATTAAAACTATCTGGTAACTTCCGAGCAACAAAAGCCACAAGCAAGCTGATGAGGGACAGAAGTCCCATGTAGCCCAGGACAATGTAAAACATAATAACAGAACCTTCATTACATTCTACTATGATCTCAGTAGTCAGTGACTGAGTGTCAAAATCTGGGAAAGGGGGAGAGGTTCCTAGCCACACTGTACAAATGCTTGCTTGAATGAGGGAGCAAGAGATAACCATGAAGCTGGCCAGTCTTTTCCCCACCCACTTTCTCATGCTGGACCCTGGCTTAGTAGCCACAAAAGCTACCACCACAGTGATGGTTTTGGCCAAGACACAAGACACAGCCACAGTGAAGATGAGGCCAAAAGCAGATTGTCGGAGTAAGCAGGTCACCTTACTTGGTTCTCCAAGAAACAGCAAAGAGCAGAGGAAGCAGAACAGGAGGGAGATTAGGAGAGTGTAGGTGATATTCCTGTTGTTTGCTTTGACAATTGGAGTATCTCTGTGTTTAATGAAAATTCCTAGAACTAAGGCTGTGATCAAGGACAAAGAAAGAGCAAGTGAAACCAGACTGATTCCTAGAGGTTCTTCAAAAGAAAGAAAGCTTAACATCTTAGGGATGCATCCATCCTGGTCTTTGCTTGGATATTGATCTTCTGGACATTTAAAACAGTCATCCATATCTGAAAAGAAAGGGAAGAGGAGCTATTCCAGTGACGACTGAAATATGCTGCAGCCTTCTCATGTTCACTTTTGTTGCTTCCAATCAGCAACATGATTGTTGTCTTTCATCTCATTCCTAAATGCTGGCTGAATGTGAAGATGTTTAATAGCATTTACATATTCCCCTGCACAGGTGAAAATATGTGAATTCTCCCTATAAAGTAAATTGGAAGAAAAACAAACCGCCCCCTCCCCTCCATAGAAACAGAGAGTTTTTAGGGTTTTGCACTTATGCTGGAAATTTCTTGGAAATGAGGGGAGCATGACGAAGGCAGGATTTGGGGAGGGATCGCAGGGTATAGTGCCATAGAGTCCACCCTCCAAAGCAACCACTTTCTCCCTTGGAAGTACTCTCCATCATCTGCTAATCTTGGGTCCCTGCCACACGGCAGGGAAAAGGACGTCTGAACTGCGGCTAATCTGAGCTGCACCAAAGTTGAGATGCCGTGGCGGGATCCCACGGATCCCCCGAGCCACGGCGCCATCGCTCCCTGACACGATCAGATGCCGGGGAGAAAGTGACGGTGGGAAGGGGAGGCTGGCAAACTGTGCATGCTCACACATGCGCAGTTTGGCCAGGAGCCTATTGATGTGCTGGCGCAAGGACGCACCAATGATCCCACGGCCACACTTGCCGCGGCTCTTTCAAATGAACCACCCAGGTAGGTGGTTGTTTTTTTGGTGCGCTTTATGGGCGGGATGGGACGGATCGGGGACGGGTGTGGCACGATTCCCAGATGTTGCTGTGGGATCGCACCCATTTGCTTCAGCCCCGATCCGTCCCTCTCCTGGCCCAAAACCGCTCGTATGGACAGGGCCTTGGTTGGCCTTCTAGAGGCTTACAAATTTAGCTGTGTTGCAGGGTTGGATACCAACTAAGCCTGCTACCTCTTTCTGATCCTATCATTTGCCCTGTGAGCACATCATTGCAAGAAGTGGTCTGTATCTGTCAGCTATAAGTAGAGTGTGATTTATTGTGACAAAATGAGGGTATTTATTTTAATAGTGCATTGTATAGGCAATGGAAATGGAAAACGATCATTTGAGGAAGTGATTTCGGAATTAGGGTACTTGAAACTCAAAGGGGTTTGATGAGTACTGCTTGGCTTGATTGTGACAGGTGCTTGGCTTGATTGTGACTGGCTTGTAGTTGGAAAAGTCTAGTTTGGTGCACTGGTTAAGTGTGCGGATTCTAATCTGGGAGAACCAGGTTTGATTCCCCACTCCTCCACTTGCATTTGCTGGATGACCTTGGGCAAGCCATAGTTCTGTCAGAGCTGTTCTCTCAAGGTCATTTCTCTCAGAGCTCCTTCTGCCCCACCTACCTCAGAGGGTGCCTGTCGTGGGGAGGGGAGGGGAAACGAGTTTGTAAGCTGCTCTGAGACACCGAGTGAAAGAAGGTGCATAAATCCATTTTCTTCTTCTTCTTCTTCTTCTTCTTCTTCTTCTTCTTCTTCTTCTTCTTCTTCTTCTTCTTCTTCTTCTTCTTCTTCTTCTTCTAGTGTTTCCAAGAGGTAAGATAGTTACACCACCTTTTTAAGCAGAATTACACCCAGTGAATCCCATTTATTTCAGTACACTAAAGAGGGGTATAATTCTGTTTAGAATTGCACTGCTACCGTCATTTAGGAAAAGCAGTGGAAGGCAGGACATGGAAATGCAAGCAGTGAAGTAAAGAATATATGACCTTATGACACACCTGCCCTCTTCCCTCCCTCAAAGGCAAGATTTTCCATTTGGCTTTTTTCCCCTTTTGTGACTGAGCCACCCAAATTGTCTGTTTTCTTCTTTTCTGAAGAATTCTGGCTTTTCCACCATTTCACGGTATAATATTTTGGCTGTTTGCTCAGCCCATTGACCCAAGAAGTCTCCAACTACCCACTCATCCTTGCCAACTTTCCCCAGTTCTCCTATCTGTGTTCGACTGTTCTCAGTCAAGTCTGAATTCCAAAATAAATCAGTAATCAACTCATCTCAGCTAGGGATGAAATCAGACATAATTCCCTTCAGGTGCCAGTTCAGAAGTCTTTCACTGCTCAGCTGATGCTAACTAGTCAGATCTCTTGGAACAGCCTGTCACTCAAGGCTCTCTGCTTCTGTGAAGAATTAACCCTTCACAGCCCTTTAGCTGTTTGTATAGAACTTCTAAGCATTTAAAATGCAGTCCTTCTCAAACCTAGATATAAATGTATCAAAGAAATAGAGACTAGGCAATCAAAGCATATAAATCTTAATGACTGGCGTTATTATTCAGTAGTTATTTTTCCTTAGGTTCTATTTTCTGTGATTAATTCCCTTTATATGCTGAAATCTGTACAATTTTTCAAAGCAGCAATCTGAATTAACTCCTACATTAACAGCACAGTCACACCTATAAACAACAATAGAACTGGCTCTCATATCTAGTGGTAGTGGAGAAAAATCAAGATTTGGTGGAGCTCTTTGACATCAGCTGGCTCTCTGCTTCTTTCTCTAGACTATCTTCTGCTCCAGTAGCTCTTGCAAACTTAAACAGTACACTGCTCAATACCACAGACAACATCCTTTGTCATGTTCCTATGGGCAACCAGTGGCTCAAAGGTACCCCCATTTTGAATCTCACCACGGGTTTTGGTACAAGGTCACAAAGAGACCCCAGGACCTGTGGGAATGCCTGCAGATACTGGTGCTGGCTAGCCAGCTCCTGCAGGTGCCGCAGGTGGCACATGACCATTCATGGGTGGGGCACCAGGGGACCTCAAAGACAGTTGCTTGCATTCTGTAGCACTTATTTTGGCCTTAGATATAGCAGGATGTATGTCACTTTTGCCAGTACTATCCATTGTGTCAGAAGCACTCGAACCAGACACCACCCCACACCCCTCTTCAACCCCTCCCAATAATCTAACAACCCTTCTGTTGGATTGTCATGGATTTCATCGGGCCCTTACCCAGGACCCCTAGAGGTCTTTGATACATCTTGGTCCTGGTAGATTACAAGACCCAATTTCCAGAGGCTATCCCACTATGTACAATGTCGGTATCGGGAGTGGTGAGAGCCCTCTTCTAATTGTTCTCATAATTTGGGATCTTGCAAGAATTGCTAACTAACCAGGGATCCTCGTTCTGAGCAAGTCTATTACATCAGCTGTGTGAGGCACTAGGGGTTAAGCAGATTTTCACATCCCTATATCATACCCAAATGGATGGGCTGGTAGAGCAATTCAACCATACGCCAAAAGGAGCGCACCAGAAATTAGCTGATGACAAACTGTATGTAGACCCCCTGCTCTTCGCATTGCGTGAGACCCCTCAGGCATCTACAGGCTTCAGCCCCTCTGAGCTCGTGTTCGGGAGACAGCCAAAGGGGATTCTAGCCTTAGTAGAGGGGCAATGGGTAGCCCAACCCCACCAAGCCGGTGGACCCAAGTGAATACATACACCAGCTGAGGGAACAGCTGGGGTGGGATCACTGCATGGTACAATCAGACCTGGAGAAGGCACAGCAGGTTCAACAGTGCCTCTATGACAGGGGGAACATCTGCATACTTTTAAGGTAGGCTACCCAGTGTTGGTCCATTGCTGTGCAAGTCCCCACCTGGGGGATCCCATGTGGGAAGGGCCCTTCCTGATTCAAAAAGTTCTGGGGCCTGTCACCTATAAGGTGAAGTGTGAGCCATGGCCCCAGGATGCTCAGTACCTGCATGTTAACCACCTAAAGGGGTGGAAGGCCCGAAAGGAGATGGAATGTACCATCTCAGGGGAGCAAAGTACTGCCGTTGCCCTTCCCTGAGTGGTCCATACCAGAGAGGGAATTAGAAGAGTTGCCCATTATAGAGGAGGGTCTGTCATTAGACCAGCAAGCTGACATGGTTCAATTACTTTGGGAGCAGGTGGGGGTGTTCTCCAAGAGATCCGAAGTCACCCATTGCATCGAGCATCTCATCCTCACCAAAAGCAGGCAGGTGGCCTGCTCCACCTGGAGGCCAATCCCCAGGGCTCAGTGGGATGAAGTCCAAACGAAAAAAGCAGAAATGCTACCTCTGGGAATTATTGAGACCTCCAAAAGTGAATGGCATAGTCCGATTGTACTGGTGCCAAAACCAGACAGTAGTACCAGTGTCGATTACAGGGAACTTAATAAGATTAAGCTAGACCGGCTGGGGACTGCTACGATGTTGTTTGCCCTCGATCTGACCAAAGGATACCGGCAGGTGCTGGTATGGGAGGCCGACTGGGAGAAAACTGCTTTTGCCACCCCCTCGAGCTTATACCAATTCATCTGGATGCCCTTCAGTCTCCATGGGGTGGCAGTCACATTCCAGCGGCTGGTGGACACCGTCCTGGCCGGTTGCCAGGATTTTGCAGCAACATATATAGATGACATCATTGTTTGATATCTGGATTGGGCCACCCACTTGCAACATCTCCAGTGCGTCCTACATGCTTTAAAGGTGGCCAGACTCACTGCAAATCTCACCAAGAACCATATTGGGTTTAGGGAACTGCAGTACTTAGGCTTTGTCATGGGGCAGGGGCAGATCCAGCCAGTTTCCCAGAAGATGGTACAGCTCTGGGAGTACCCTAGACCCCAGACGAAAAAACACCTCAGCCTGTTCCTGGGGCTCTTGGAGTGTTACAGCCAATTTCTGCCATAGTACGCTACCCACACGGCCCCGCTCACCGACCTTCTCAAGAAGAGTTGACCTAACCAGCTGCAGTGAGGACTGGCAGAGCAACAAGTGTTTGCAGAGATGAGGGAAGCCTTAGACCAGACTACCACTCTCTACAACCCCGATTTATCCTAGCTGTTCCTCATCCATACTGATGCATCAGACACTGAACTGGAGGCTTTGTTGTCCCAGACCCACAAGGATCAGGAGGCCCCCATTTTCTTCCTCAGTTGGAACCTGCACAACACGAAGCGTCGATATTCCATGGTAGAGCACGAGGCCCTAGCCCTGAAGTAGGCTGTAGGGGCTTTGAAGTTTTACCTCTGTAATAACCCGTTCATTCTAGTGACTGACCATGTGCTGCTCCAGTGGACGGCACAGATGAAGGACAATAACGCAAGCCCCTATATAAATCAATGGTGCGACCTCATTTGGAATACTGTGTGCAGTTCTGGTCACCACACCTTAAAAAGGATATTATAGCTTTGGGAAAAGTGCAGAAAAGGGCAACTCGAATGATAAAAGGGTTGGAACACTTTCCCTATGAGGAAAGGTTAAAGCGCTTAGGGCTCTTTAGCTTGGAGAAAAGACGACTGAGGGGTGACATGATCGAGGTTTATAAGATTATGCATGGGAAAGAGCAGGTAAAGAAAGAGGTACTTTTCTCCCTTTCTCACAATACAAGAACCCGTGGGCACTCCATGAAATTGCTGAGCGGTCGGGTTAGAACGGATAAAAGGAAGTACTTATTCACCCAAAGAGTGATTAACACATGGAATTCACTGCCACAGGAAGTGGTGGGTGCTACAAGCATGGACGGCTTCAAAAGGGAATTAGATAAGCATATGGAGCAGAGGTCCATCAGTGGCTATTAGCCACAAGGTATAGCTAGGGGCTCTGGGGCAAGTGATGCTCTGTCTTCTTGGTGCTTGGGGGGGGGGTCAACAGTGGGAGGGCTTCTAATGTCCTGGCCCCACTGGTGGACTTCCTGATGGCACTGGTATTTCTGGCCACTGTGTGACACAGAGTGTTGGACTGGATGGGCCATTGGCCTGATCCAACATTGGCGTCTCTTACGTTCTTATGTTCTTAAGGGTGCTCCGATGGTATCTCTTCCTTCTTTCCTACAGGTTCATGATTCAGCACCAGGCAAGCTGCCACCACCTGAATGTGGACTGTATGTACCACCTCTTCGAGGAGCCCAACAGCAACACTGGGGCAAGGGTGTGTGTGTCTCCCGTCCTTCCTCTCCAACCCACCACCCAACCTGGGAACAGTCCAGCAGAAGTCCCTACCATCCAGGCTTAAGTTCAACCTCATGCCCACATGCAGGGGCTCAAGGGACACACTCAGAGATGCTGCCTGCACCAGGCCCCACGGGGGTTCCCTTGTACTGCTGACAACCAGCAGACCAGCCCATCTGAGGGTTCCCAGAGGGACTAGGGCTGCTTCTGCCCTGACCCGCTCAGGGTACCCCGGCAGTTGAGGGAGTTAGTGGCAAGGGTGGGGGCAGGCTCTGGCAACGGTGATGGCCTGACCAAGAAGAGGAAGGGTGGTTCCCGATAGATGGGAAATTAGGGCAGACCAGCCCTATGGCTAATTTGCTGTAAGGAGGGAGGGGCGGAGAGAAGGCCAGGAGGTGGGAATAAAGATGCATCAGGAAAGCGAACTGGGGAGGATGACACCTGAGGCTTATGGAGACCAGAGAGCCACGTTGTGAAGAGGGTGGCAGAATCCGAGAGGGACGGTGAGCCAGAGAGAGAGAGAGGAGGCTTCTCCAGAAATTTTGTCTAAACATTGGACTATGAAATAAGCCTCAGGTAGGGGAGCATCAGGAACTGCGGTGGCTCAAGTGGTTAAGATGCTGAACTGCAGGCTGTGGAAGGTCGGTAGTTCAGCAGTTCAAGACCCGAGTGTGCCACATGACGGAGTGAGCTCCCGTCTCTAGTTCCAGCTCCTGCCAACCTAGCAGTTTGAAAGCAAGAAATTGCAAGTAGATAAATAGGTATCACTACAGTGGGAAGGTAACAGCATTCCATGTGCCTTAGTGTTTAGTCATACCAGCCACATGACCACGGAAATGTCTTTGGACAGCACTGGTTCTTTGGCTTTGAAACGGAGATGAGCACTGCAACCCTAGAGTCGGATTCAACTGGCTTTCGAGCAAGGGAACCTTTACCTTTTACCTTTAGGGGATCATCAGTGATGGAACTGACAGGCTACCCCAGAGTCTGAGGTTAAACTACCCCCACTGTGCCTTGCATTCCCGACCTGGAACTCGCCCCATCGCTCCCAGAGCCCAGGGAGACGGGCCGAGACATGACACAACCATATGAAAGTATAACTGTGGTATGTCCAAGAGATGTGCCACCATTTGAATTTTCCTTTTCTTTACCCACACCTATAATCCAATATATGGCAAATTATCTTTACCCACATCTATCATCCAGTATATGGTAAATTCTCATTTTATTAAATGGACTTCTATAATAATTGTCAACCTTTGGGAAATTCAGTTCACTGCAACACCTACCTTTGTGATTTGAAAACTTCCCTTTTGGACAAGAAGAACAATCATAGCAGCAAAATTTCTCCCCTTCCTTCTTTTGCTTGTGATAACCAGGGGGGCAGGGATCATTGCACACAGAAACGGGCACCACCTGTGCTAGTATAGAAAAGTTGTTGAGGATGGGAGAAAATACTAATTGCTCACAAAATATAGTCTAAAGGTGAGCATTTGAAGTGCAAGAAGCAGAACATTCTGCAAGCAACAATGTACTTGTAGTTTCTGATTATGGCAGGTAGTATCTTTGCTGTCTCTCGCTTGGTTGTGGAAAGCTTGGATTGCATAGAAAAGCATTTAGTTATTCAACTCAGTGTCTCATTCCAAAGGCAGGGAAAACTGACCAACAATGGGGACCAAAAGCAGCTTAAATCACACAACTCAGTGAGGGAGGTATGCCGAAGAGAGAGTGATGGTCCAAAGTTTCCTAACCAGCCTCCATGTAAAAATAAATATTTGAACCTGGATTTGTAATCTGACACTTGAACTACCATACAACACTGGCCTTTTTTTTTCTTTTTCTTTCTTTTTTGGGATGGCTGCTTTCAAACAGAAGCAAGGAACCAAAGTTGGGTGAGGCGTGCAACTATCCCAGTGGTTGCTGGAAGGCCTGACCCTGTTGTATATGCCTTCAAAAGTCAAAACAGTCCTGGAAAGGACTCTTCCCACTTTCTCCTGCCTTTTTCTAAGAGAAAAGGCTGAGACCAGCTGCCAAAACTGTTATGGTTGCTAGCAATGGCCATACTTAGAAACACATTTCTTAAAGCTATAGGCACTGCATTTTCCTGAAGATCTGGAGCATTTTTCAGGTTTGTAGAAAGATTAAGAAGAAGAGGAGGAAGAAGAAGAGATTGGATTTATACCCCACCCTTCACTAACCAAAGGAGTCTCAGAGTGGCTTACAAACTCCTTTCCCTTCCCCTCCCTACAACAGACACCCTGTGGGGTAAGTGGGGCTCAGTGAGCTCTGACAGAAACTGCTCTTTTTCAAGAACAACTGTGCCAGAACTATGGCTTGCCCAAGAACTCGTGGGCACTCCATGAAACTGCTGAGCAGTTGGGTTGGAATGGATAAAAGGAAGTGATTCTTCACCCAAAGAGTGATTAACACATGGAATTTACTGCCACAGGATGTGGTAGTGGCTACAAGCATGGACGGCTTCAAGAGGGAATTAGATAAATATATGGAGCAGAGGTTCATCAGTGGCTATGGATAGGGACTCTGGGGCAGGTGATGCTCTGTATTCTTCGTCAACAGTGAGAGGACTTCTAGTGTCCTGGCCCCACTGGTGGACCTCCTGATGGCACTTGGTATTTTTGCCAAATGTGTGACAGAGTGTTGGACTGGATGGGCCTTTGGCCTGATCCAACATTGGCTTCTCTTATGTCCTTAAGGTTATCCAGCAGGTGCAAGTGGAGGAGTGGGGAATCAAACCCAGTTCTCCAAGATTAGAGTACACACACTTAACCACTAAACCAAACTGGCTCCTGTGTTTGTGGGTGAAGTCTCCATATTTGAGTATCCACACACGTAACCATGTTGAGAAGATTCATTGATGAAGGGCTTTGAATACTTGGGGGGGTACAAAAAGCAGTGAGTTCAATTCATTCACAAGAAGGGTGTGGTCCCCAAGAATCATTTGCAACCCATACCTGGTTAAAATGCCTGTGCCATACGATCATATTGTCATGAATGATGAATCCTTTTCCTTCGCGGGCATCTAAATCCACCCTTCCAACTTTCACTCGAAGGAAGGACTTATTGGGGAACATGACCATGTTCATGATGTCAAATCCAGTTCCCATTTCTTTATTCCTATTAAAGGACATGGTTTCTCCAGCTGAATTATTAAAGGAAAGGCCTTGAAGAAAAGAGTAAAGCTAGTTGAAAGAGAAAAACAGAACAGAGGATGTTCCAAATGAGGGTCCAATTCAAAGATGGAAAGATGGCACAGCTGGAAGAAGCATCGCTCCTGCAGCTCTGCATCATTCCATAGAACTCAAATGTTCAGACTGTAAAATTCCTTTCCTCACTGATACAGTTGATGCACTGCCCCACCCCCGGATATAGCAGCTCTTTTGCTGTGACATGGCTGAAAACATACGGTATCCATATTATTTCATTTCCAATTCTAGGATTTTGTCTGACTTAAGCATACACAAACTGATCTCCAAATTATTGCTGCAAAACAATGTTGAATGTTACCTCAACAGGTATTTTTATTTATAGATTTATTTTATTCATAGCTTGTCATTTTAACGTAGACTCGAGATGGCTTGCTCAATTTAAAACAGTGCAATCACAGGATTAAGTACAAAATCATCAATACATCATAAATTAAGTACAACAATAATCAACAAAACCATCTCCTTATACATAATTGCAATTTAGTCTGGAAACATTCCATGCACTCCCATTGGCTGTAAAATGCCCTCCCTCAGCCATTGGCCCATCACCCACCACTCAAGAGTACTCGTGTGCCATTGGCCGGGTGCTGGGTCTGCTCTTCTTCCCCGCCCACTCCCCCTTCAGCCCCTGTTGCTTGTCAGATTTACTGGCAGATAGCTCTCTCTCCTGAGGAAGGTAGTTCTGTCCCCTCAGTGGCTGTTGGTAGGCAACCAAGCTTGGTTCTGTGAGTAAAAAGACAAAGGACTTTCAGCATAACCCCCTCCCCTGCCCAGTGCCAGCTCCACCAATTTCATGTCAGAATAAATGGAAAAAAGGTCTCTCTCCTGCTTAGCTCCACCATGGCTGGCTGGCTAATGAGGTGGGCCAGTGACCATCAAACCATTCTCTTCAACCCCCTTCTGTGTGGCTGACTTTTCCCTGGGGCTGCCAATCTCCAGGTGTGACCTGGAGATCTCCCACTGTTACAATTGATCTCCAGATGACAGAGATCAGTTCCCCTGGAGAAAATGTCTGCTTTGGTGGGTAGAGCCTATGGCATTATACTCTGCTGAGTCCTTCCACCCCCCCCACCCAAAAAAATGCTGCCCTCCACAGGATCCACCCCCCAAAACTCCAGGTATTTCCCTAATCAGAGCTGGCAACTGTACTTTCTCCTCTGTTAGTAAAAGGCCCTTTCCACACCTATGTTGGCCTTTGGGAGAAAACACATTGGGGCCAGTCCTGATAGGGTTGTCAACTCCAGGTGGGAAATTTCTGGATATTTGAGGGATGGAGCCTGGAAAGGGTGAGGTTTGAGGAGGGGTGGGACCTCAGACAGGTACAATGCCATAGATACCACCCTCCAAGCCAGCCATTCCCTGATGAAGAACCATTGTTGCCAATCTCCAGGTGGGGGCTGGGGATCACTCAAAATTACAACTGCTCTCTAGGAGGGCGGGGGAAGAAATGGAAAACTGAAGCCAGGGGGCAGATAACTGTAGGCTGATGGTTGGCTGGGAGGGAGATAGGGTTGCCAACTCCAGGTTGGGAAATTCATGGAGATTTGATGAGTGGAGCCTGGAGAGGGTGAGGTTTGAGGAGGGGTGGGGCTTCAGACAGGTACAAAGCTACAGACTCTACCCTCCAAACCAGCCATTCCTTCCAGGGAACCACTGTTGCCAATCTCCAGGTGAGGGCTGGAGATCACTCAAAATTACAATTGCTGTTCAGGAATTCATATTATTTTATTTCCAATTAAAGGATTGTCTGCATGCACAAAACCCTATGATTTAAAGCATACACAATCGGATCTCCAAATTATTGCTGCAAAACCATGTTGAATGTTACCTCTACAGGTACAGTTATTTATATGTTTACTTCGTTCATAGCTTGTCTTTTTTCACATGGACTCAAGATAGCTTGGTCAATATAAAAAACTGCAATCACAGGATTAAATACAAAATCATCAATATAATAAAACATAATTGCAGGATTGCTTTAATGCAATAAACTGTAGGTGATGAATGATACATAATGCAAACAACAAATAATGAAATAAAACTGTATTACAGTATTTGGGTGTACACAATATTGTAAACAACTAGCAAAGAAATTGAAATAACAGACTCTATGACTATTCACTTTATACAAAGGTCCTTCTAAAAAAATTAGAGAAACAGTGCAACTGTGTCATGTATAAAATGATATAACATGCTCAAGGCAATAAAGTTATTTCATTCTGCAGAATTACCTTCCAAGGCTGGCTGGGTGGATATGCATCTCTTTTGTCACCTACTGTTGCTCTGTGGTTGGGTCTAGATGAGTACATGGCATGTAAAGCCAGTGCCACAGCATAGACAGCATTACTGATACTGTAACTGTGGCCCAACATGGGCATTTCAAAAATATGCCCAGGAAGACTCTCCAGTCTCTCCTCCCCAGTACATGTTTCATTGATCTTTATTGGCTCCTTTGAATTTGAAAGGGTACAGAGAAATGATTCCTCCCAGAACTCCTTAAGAAAATCATTGTGTTCTGTCCAATAAGGGTTGATGTTCAGGAGAAACTTCCTGAATCCAAGAAGTTCATCGGTGCAAACTGTGAATGAGAGAGCACCTTGAAACATGTAGGAACTAAAACCATTTATAATACCTCTGTCTATGAAATCAACTTGGGCTGTCAGAATCCATACTTTTCTATATAATGAGTTTTCTTCATAGCCAGGATCTCCTAAAACCACCCAAGTATTTATCATTATCATAGTCAGAGCTTTTCCATAGATGATAAAAGTATTGGCTTTGCTTTGTGTCAGAGGTCGATATACGTTTAAGATTAAGTCATTCACATCCCCCAAAGTATCCCATTTGGACTGGTTTGGGATTTTCACTGTGAAGTCCAAACAAATTCTGTTCTGGAAAAACAACATCTCCATAGCCTGCAAGAAATGTTCTCCACTGTGTTCATCTACAGCAAAGAGGCCAACCCATGTCCATTCAAAATGGAGAAGCAATTGAATGATCCCCATGTACTGAGGGGTTTCGTTTGGGACCATGCGGAAAAAGGAAGGGGACTCTGTCACATCTCTCTCCTCAGGTGCAAATGAGCCATAGGTGAGCTGAAAGGAAACAGACAGATATTTTAGAAATAAGTTACTCGGAAACTGTCCATTATGATGAAAATGGTAAACAGAAAGGAATTGCCTGAATTTTGGCTTCATTTCCCCATATCTTCTGTCCCCATTTTCTATTCTACTCTAATTTTCACTTTGTTCTGAACACATCAGCAATGTTCCCTCTAATCTGTGGAGTCCTGTGAGCAAAAATTCTACTTCGTGAGCTACTAGCATTAAAGTTGTGAGCAGGTAATTTGGCTACTGCATAAATTAGTTTGCACTGGAGCCCTCCTTCCTGAGCTAAGACAAAAATGTGTGAGCCAGAGGCTAAAAAACTGTGAGCTAGCTCACACTAACTCAGCTTAGAGGGAACACTGCAGGCAGGACTTTATTGTTCTAGCAGTCAGAATTTTCCCTCTTTATTACCTACAGAACAACTCCTGGTGCAAAGCATGATGATGGGTCAATTCATTCATATTCCTGTACACATATCCTTCCATTGGAATCTTGTAAATTCCTAAGATATCTGCCACATGGAAGGACCCAGCAGCATCATATCCACCGACAATGGCTATCATCTTTCTCCTGGAATCGCATTTGTAATTAGGCTGAAATCCCTGTGATTTGAAGAGCATATGCAGGGTGGTCCGGTAAGTCATCTTTGCATCATAGTAGCTGTCTAAGATATGGAATCCAAGGGTGATATTTGGCAGGATATGGGGGTTCTCATTGATACCATTCACAGCAAAAGCCAAGGCCAGGGCATGCTGGTAGAACTTGGTCACCATTCTGAAAAAGAGAGTGACATTCTGTATTATAAGAGAATTCATCAGCACCCTGATACATTTTAAAATAACTTTGGAACATTCTTTGTCTGCCTTAATTTCCTTAATGATGTATTTTCATTCCTATATATTTCTATTTATATATCTCAAATAAGAAAGATTGTGCTCTTCAGGCCAGCTACCATTGAGAATATAGTTATAATAAATCACAGAATCAAGATTTCTCTTCTCCATACCATATTGACATTTCTATGAATTTTCTTCCATCTAATAGACAAGTGTAGATCCCATAGAGATCAAAAAATCCATAGAACCTTCCAAACCTAGGATATAGCCTTCAGCCACTGTGGGGGAACACCCCACTTTGGAGAAGCTTTTGAAAGTTAAAAGGGGAGATATCCAAGCTCCAGCCGACATAGCAGATTGATATTTGTTCAGGGGCAGACATTAAAGAAATTGAGAAAAGAAGCCCCAGTGCTTGTTGCTCTTATCTCCCAACAGTCACTTGTAAGATCTCAGCTGACAAGCTGAGCAGTCAAGTCAGTCCCTTAAAAGGCCCACCTCCCCCTCACCTTGTCATCATTAAAACAACAACAATGGCCACTTCTGCACTCTCACCCTTGTCACTCGTTTTTCCCTATTGCTTCAGGGTTCCCCCCACGATGTGTTTTGCTTTCTCTAGTAGTTCCAGAGGGAGCAAAACACATGTGGAAAAGGTGTGGGGGACCCAAAGCGACAGGGAAAGGAAGAGTGACAAAAGTGAGAGTACGGAAGTGGCCAATGTCTCAATAATCCTGTAAGAGTTTTAATCCACTTTGCTTGCTTTCTCTAGGTTCCCCCAACCCCATATCCACATATTTTGCACTCTCTTATACACTGGAATTCTGAAAGTTTGTTTCCCAGTCCCCCCCCCCGAGTTTTACTACAACCTTGTAGTATACAATGCATGTAACTGAGTAACACTTCAGTTCAACTAAAAACAAACGGGTCCCCATTTTCCCAAGAGAGAGAACAAATTCCATGTGGACTGTGAACAGAACAGGAAAAAAGTGATTGGAAAAGAGGTATGGCATGCGGAAATGGGCCATGCCAACAGGTCCTTCTTTGAGTACAGCTGTTGTTCCTGCATTTCCTCAGACCAAGGTAACAGAATGTAGGGGGGGGGTAATTCTTACTCTGGAAGCTCAAATAACTTCTGCAAAGGATGGTCTGTGAAAGGAACCCTATGGAAAGTGTAAATGATCTGAGAAGTAATCCCACCAATGAGGAGGTCACCTGGCTGGTACCACTCATGGGGCACAGGGAGAGGGTCTGTCTCCGGACACTTCATGCCATTTACTCTGCATTCCACAAAAAGCAGCAGGAGTTGCAAACACACCAGCGTCACCGTTCTGACAAGCGTCATTCTAGAATCAAATTGTGAGATGTCAAGCTGACACTGTGCTGCCTAGTCCCTTCTCCCACCTCTCAGTGAACCGGGGGCATTTCATAGCCATTTTCAAATGTGTTGACTGCTTTCTGGCACTTTCTGAAAAGCCACTGGAGCTTTGGTCAGTTGATCCAATTGCAGTGATGTGGATAATTGCGGGGGGAAGTTAATTACACTGTGAAGTTTGGACCATAATTGACAACTTTGGCAATATTTTTTTTCTCTTAACCTAACTTTTAGTCTCCTCATTTCTGGTGGGACAATAGAATGGATCAGGGGACATTTCCTGCAGAAGCGCACAGGAGCAGAGCTCCGGCAGTAAAGAGCCCAGGGGGCGGGCACATGCAACAAGCCCCACTCCCCGCTCCCAGCAGCCCTCAGTCAGAGCAAGAAGCAGCCAGGTAAGTTGCAGAGCTCCCCACGTCCCCCCGGTCCAAAACAGTCCAGTGGCACCTTTAAGACCAAGTTTCATTCAGGTACAAGCTCTGCCTCCTCTGCGAGGACAGATCGGCACGTCCCCCCCCCAATAGCTAGCGATCCAAAACAGTCCAGTGGAGCCTAAGCGGTGGGTGTTGCCTTCTGACACACTTCCGGTGATGTCAGGGGGTGTGGCATATGCAAATAAGTTATGCTAATTAGTTATGCTAATGAGCTTTTGCACCTCTTTTTCTATGAAATGACCCCTGGAATGGATTGTTGGTATAGTTCTCCATTATGAACGAACATACGCCCCAGGTTGTTGTAAAGTTACCTATCTGCAGTTAGGAGTTGTACTTCTTCTTCTTCTTCTTTTAATCATTATTTTATTGAGTATATGTTACAATTTCATATGGATATTCTTTCCAAATATGTTATACTCCTTTTGAAACTTAAAAAAAAACAATTGAGGTGACATATCACCTGTTTATAACTTAATCCCAATCTTGTTTATACCCTCATCTTTTTCTTATTTCCTTATATTACCCGCTTATAATACCACCATGCAACTTCCTATCTATATCATATTTTATTATATTCTTCTTGTGTTTTCTCGGTACCTAGAAAAGAAAGCTGGACAGGGTTGCCTCCAATACTGGGTGCTGCAGGGAAAATCCCTACAGCAGGAGGGTAACCTCCACCCTTTCACCAGAGGTCTTTGGGGGAGCACACCCTTCACCTCCTTTCTAATATTTACTCCTTGTATCTACTTCTATGTTCCCAACTTATAATTATTTATTTACCAACTTATAATTATTTATTTTATTTTAATTGCTCTCCACCTAACTTAATATGTCATTGTCAAGTCCCAAGACTTCTTCAAACTCCTCCGTCTGTTTGCTTAGTAACTGCATCCAAACGCTTTTTGCCCGTGGTCTCATTGAAAGCGGTGAAAGTTTTTCCACTTTGATTGACCACTAGGTGGCCGAGTGGAAGCCATCTATACTATGAGGATGTGGATGGTTTCTGAGCCCAACAAAGCCTTTCAGCTTCCCATCTGGGCTCAGGCTCACTTCATCCATGCTTTCTTCTCAAATCAGGGGAAGGAGAAGGACCTCCCCTTTCCTCCTCCACTGTTTGCATTCTTAAATTTTATCCAACTGGAGTGGGGGGGGATCTGTTTTCCCCAACTCTGGACCATTTTGAGAGGAAACTTTTTCTCTCTATCACTATACCAAGTGTCAGTTTGGATGTCTGGAAAATTTCAAAGCCTGATGATGGAAAGTGATTTCAAGCAACAAGTGACCTATGGCAACCTGATAGGGTTTTTAAGGCAAGAGGTGAACAGAGGTGGTTTGCCATTGCCTGCTTCTGTGTAGCTACTCAGGACTTCCTTGGTTGTCTCCTGTTCAAGTATGAACCAGAGCAAACCCAGCTTAGTGTCAGCTAGGCTGCCCAAATTGCTACATGCCTGGTAATGTCTGGTTTCGGATCTGCTGTTGTACCTTATCTTGAAGTTTTGGCTCCGTGGCCTTGACTTCCTTGGTTGTCTCCCATCCAAGTATGAACCAGGGTCAACCCAGTTTAGCTTCCGATATCTGAGGAGATTTGACTACCTGGGTGACCCAGTTCAGGGTGAGATATAACAAAAAAGGACACCTCACTGATCCAGTTAAAACTTTTAAAGGAGTTAGACAGGTTTGTCTTCTGGCCCCTCTGCTATTTAACTTCTATTTCAGTGTTGTGGTTAAACACGTTACTGATTCAAAATTCCATCCGCCAAAACTTGTCTCACGCCACCTAACAATACTGCTGTACACAGATGATGCAGTCCTATTAGCAAGAACTCCATTGGGCCTGCAGAGGGCATTGGACAGTTTCACCACATATTGCATTAAAGAACATCTAATAATTAATTACAGTAAGACCAAGGTGATGGTATTTGGCAAACACCCAAAAAGGAAGATTTGGTCAATGAAAGGGAACAGAATTGAACAGGTTAATAAATTTACATACTTTGGGGTCGTATTTCAGGAGAATGGTTCTGTGACAGCTCACTGTAATCTGAGTGCAGGTTGAGCTGAGAGATCATCCAATATGATTTTAAGATTCTTTCGAGCCAAAGGCTGTTCTTACATGCCTGCAGCCCTGAAACCTTTTCAAGCCAAAGTTATCAATCAGCTCCTTTATGGTATCTACCTAGGTATCCCAGCGAACAGTTTATATCTACTAGAGAAAATTCAAACTAAATTCCTTCAATCTATTTTACAAATTCCACCCAATGTTTCCAATTTTTTACTGCGACTGTGTAACTTAACATTTATAGGCTTCTCTCTGGACACACTGTTGACCCAAGATATCAATATTGCAAGATCTTTAGTTAAGCAAAGGATCCATAATGTTGAACGCCAGTTAGATCTAATAAAAACCCACATTTCATGATTTCTGAGAAACACAGATATACTATTAATATGGCCCAATATCTAAAAAATGTAGAATATTTTTATTCTATATATAAATGTAGATGTAATGTATTGCCATCTATGGTAACAGAAGGGAGATATCAGAAGATCCCATGTACTGAAAGGGTATATGCAAGTCAGGGAAAAAACAATCCTCCCTATTCTGGAACAGTCCATGCTTATATCAGGTAAGATAGCCTTGATGAAATTACTGCTTGATGAAATACCAGCAGTCATGAGAGTGAAAGCTAGGTTTTGTGCTCAGGTGATTAAACAGAATAATAGTTTAAACAGGAGCTTCGCTTTCTGATTTTGAGGAGCCAGTATATTAATGACCATATGTATATAATTTTATTACTATATATGATTGTTGGATTAGTTCAATTATAAACTGGATGTACATTTTAATAGTATATTTAGGGCAGATTTGTTTTGTATCCTATTGCAGTGTATTCTATTTTTTATCTCGTCTATGATTGTTCTAATAATAAACAGACTGCAAACAAACATTATAGCTTATTATAAAGAATCCTCTTTGTTCTAAGCACCATTTTTTGCATGTTATAAAACTGTAAGTTGCGTACGTTTGACCCACATCCACTCTCAATTGATTTTTCAACTTTAGGAATCTCTTTACATTTGGGGGTTTTGTTTGCTTTTTTGTTTGTTATGCTTGCTTCTTCTCTCAGAACATGAAACCTTAAAGTGGCTTAATTGGACAATGGTTATGAAACTTTCTATGAACTTCCAGATCTTACCTCATTGTCGCGTTTTTGATGTTGCATGTTCAGTTTTCTGTAGTGCACCTAATTTTTTAGCTAGCCACCATTTTACTTTTTAAAACTTTTTTGACTTTTTACTTTACTTTTTACTTTACATTTACTTTTTATATTTTACTTTTAAGTTACTCTTTTAGTAAAATTACATTTTGCTATTAGTTTTAAATATTTAGACTTCATAGGACTTGGATCATGTAGATCCTACTTTGTTAGTCAAACAACTGTACCAAGTTGCCAAACATCAAAACAATAAAACATTTCTGTGTTAGAGCTATATTTGAAATAAAGCATACATAAAACAATTCAGCAGAAGCAGAGAAACAGACATATGTACAGAATGCTTACAAATGGAGGTGACAAAAACATGCACATACATTCAGAGACTGCAACCAATATCACTGAGGTGCCTTCCATATGTGTCTTGAGGAGGGAAAGTAAGTTATTCTTGAGGACTTACAGATACATCACATTCTACTCATTTGTTTCTTGCTTTCCCAGCTTTTGATTATCTCTTTTTCTTATGAACTGAATAAGAACCCTGGAAGGGCTAACAAGTGGATGTAGAGGCTGAGGCTTTCCTCAAATGTTGCCTCCTGGCTCTGGTATGCAGAGGGTTATTGCCTCTGAATGTGGAGGCTCCTTTTAATCAGCATGGCCAGTAGCCACTAATAGGCCTCCCTGAAACTGTCTAATCTGTTTTCTTCCCCTCTCCCTCCCAACCTATTTGTCTCATTCTCTTCTTATGTCTGTCCTTCCTTCACTTTTGTGTCCATTTTCAGTTACAAATTGTTTAGGGATGGGGAAAGTGTACCCTGATTTACAGTGTGTGTTGTGGAACTTAGAAGAGACCCTAACTTCATTTGGGTTCGCATAAAAGAAATTAGTCATTATCATAGAGGGGAACACTGGACGAAACTCCCTCTTCTGTTGCCACTGCCCTTTGATAATCTGGGAATGCATTCTTCTCTCAGGCAATGTAGGTAACTCAGGTCTCTTCAGAAGATACATAACTCTCCAACCTCATCCATGTCATTTTCAGTGTCACTGGAGCTGAGAGAGGGAAGTACTGAAGAACTAATGAGTTGGATCAAGACAGAATATCATTTTCGGCTTCACTTTCCAAGTACAACTCACTGCTGTCCACCAAATGATGTTGCTGGTACAGTTGCAAAGTCTGTGTTGGGAAACTGCATGGTATTTGAGGGTGAAGTTCATGGAGGGCATGGTTACAGGAGAGAAGATACCTTGGTGGAGTATAGTCCACCCTCCATAGCAGCCATTCTCTAAGGTAGAACTGCACTCTGAGATCATTTGCAAGTCCAAGTGATCTCCTGGCCCCTCCTGGAATTTGCCAAAAGTATTTCCTGGGGCACAGGGTACACTGATGTGTGAGAGAAATCAGAATTAGTGTTAACCATTTGCATCATCTTGATGTAACACAATACTAATCAGGAAAAATGGAATTACTTTTTCTTTTGAAAAAGTCAGATCAGTCTATCATATATTGGACATTGTTGTACATCTGAATACATGAAATAGAAGGATGTTATAAGGGAGCCAAAATAAATCATAGAGGAGTCTCAGTATTCTTGTTCCGACAAAGACACATATGGAAAGTGACAGCTAGTGAAAGAGGGGTGAAATATAGGTTCTTAATTTTTTCGCATGAGGTGATTCTTCTGATTGAGTTCAGGCCGCAGCATGATTACATAGCACTTGGGGGAAAAGATACAAGCCAGTAAGCTAGCACTGGAGACCAAGATGGAGAAGATCTCCACAGCCACCATCTGTTTCCCTTTGGTGCTCAGATAGGTGGGAACAAAACACAACCAAACACTGCAAAAAATCAGCATGCTGAAGGTGATTGATTTGGCTTCATTAAAACTATTGGGCAACGTCCGGGCAACAAAGGCCACAAACAAGCTGATGAGGGACAGAAGTCCCATATAGCCAAGGACAATGTAGAACATAATGTCAGAGCCTTCATTGCATTCTGCTATAATCTCTGCAGACAGGAATTGTGGATCAAAATCGGGGAAAGGGGGAGAGATTCCCAGCCATACTGTACAAATACTTGCTTGAATAAGAGAACAAGAGAGGACAATGAAGTTGGCCAGTCTTTTCCCCACCCACTTCCTCATGCTGGACCCTGGTTTGGTGGCCATGAAAGCTACCACCACAGTGATGGTTTTGGCCAAGACACATGCCACAGCCACAGAGAAGATGATGACGAAAGCAGATTGTCGGAGTAAGCAGGTCACCTTGGTCGGTTTTCCAAGAAACAGCAAAGAGCAGAGAAAGCAAAACAGGAGAGAGATGAGGAGAGTGTAGGTGATATTCCTGTTGTTGGCTTTTACGATGGGGGTATCTCTGCATTTAATGAACGTTCCTAGGACTAAGGCTGTGGTCATGGACAAAGAAAGAGCCATTGAAACCAGACTGATTCCTAGAGGTTCTTCAAAAGAAAGGAAGCTTATCATTTTAGGGATGCATCCTTCCCTGTTCTTGCTTGGATATTGATCTTCTGGACATGTCAAACAGTCATCCATGTCTGGAAGGGAAGAGGAGAGGAATAATCTCAGTGCTGTCTGTAATGTTGCATGGGCTTCTCATGTTTACATTTTATGTGTGTGGCCAGCAATATGGTGGTTGTCTTTTATCTCATTCATAATTGCTGGCTGAGTATGGAGATGTTAAATACCATTTTCATATTCCCTTTCACTGATGAAAATATGTAATGTCTTCCTGTACAGGGATTGTGAACTCCAGGTGTACTGCTTGGCTCTGGTTTGGTAAACTGTATACTTAATTGGTTGGGAGTTGGAGTATTCCAGGGCTATTTTACACAAGTAAGCCAGTTATAATGCTTTCCTAAGCAGTGTTACACTCTCCAAATCCCATTAACTTCAGTTTACTTGGAGTGGCATAACTCTGCTAACAATTGCACTGTTATGGTCAGTTTGGAAAAATAGAGAAAGGCAGCACCTGAAAACCAAGCAGTGAAGGGAAGATTCTATGATGTACATATAAATGTATCAAAGAAATGCAGATGTCAAAGTATGCCACCATTTCACAACAGAAAACGTAATAACAGCAGTTATATTTCAGAAGTTATCCCCCAGGATTAGGCATTCCCATTTCCTACATAAATTCTCTTTCTTGTGGTACTTTATTAGATCTCGATAGTGTCCTTTGTGGGCTAAAAATTCCCTCAAAATAAATACAGTGCTGTTACTTTGGAGCTCCCTATGTTTTCACTAAAGCCCTCTTTTGATAAATCTGCACTTTTTATCTACCACATGCCTTGATTCTTAAGGGCTGGAAGTCTTACGGGAGGAGATGTGGTTTTAATTTAGACAGAATATTTACAATAGATAAAACCCCATGCAAAATAATAAGGGAACTCTTAGCTGCCTCAGACTTGAACAATGATTTCTCTAAGGTTAATACATCTGGGGAGAGCATAAAATCTTGGACGGAGTGTACAGTGTTATTATTCCAACAAAATGGAAATATGAAGTTTTATTTGAGATACACAAACTTATCTTTTAACAGAGAGTAGAATGCATGACACATTCATATATAAAACAATAGGTAAATGACCAATACCTAATAAAGAGTGGGTTTCCTAAGAAACTAATTGATGAATTATGATTGGGGAAGCAGTGTAGGTGTCAGTGAAACTTGGCCCTTTAAAAAAAAAAAAGTATAATCTCCACTTTTGGTCACTTTGGAGGCCATAGCAGGCTGGGCATTGGAACACCCTAGATTGATTGTCCTGGGTGATTTCAATGTCCATGCTGATGATGTGACCTCTATTCAGGCAGCGAATCTGGTGTCGTCCATGGCGGAGCTGGGACTCTCCCAATACGTAACAACGCCCACTCACCAGGCTGGGCACACACTCAATTTGATTTTTGTGGCGGGGGTAACAGTGGACCGGATTACTGCTTCAGCGGTTCCATGGTCAGACCACCATGCCCTAGGGGCCTGCCTAAATGTACCACCCCAACCCTGTTTAGGCAGCGAGCATTTTTTAGCTTGCCCGTAGAGCCAGATGGACCCTTTGTGGTTCCAGATGGCCCTGCGGGATCCAGTGCCCCCTAGTGGCTTGCTAAATGAGCTTGTGGAGGACTGGAATAGCCAGCTCTCTACAACCATCAATGAGATCACTCCATGGCACCCTCTATGCCCTCAAACTAGGCTGGCTCCTTGATATACCCAGGAGTTATGGCTGAGGAAGCTCAGACAGCTAGAGGACGGTGACACCGAACTCGAGACGAAGCAACAGGAACATCTTATAGGATGTTTATGAAAGCCTATGAGATGGCAGTCAAAGCCACAAAGAAGGCTTTCTATACAGCGGAGATTGTGTCCGCTAGCTCTCACCCAGCCCAATTGTTTAGGACGATTCGGTCGCAAACAGCTCTGCCACAGGGCAGACCAAATGCTAGGGAATTGAACATTGGCTTTGAGGCTTTCGCGAGCGATTTTGCGGATAAAGTCCTGGTGCTCCACCACGATCTCCCCGCCACACTTGAAATAGTGATCGAGCTTGAGGCCCATTGCACGTCTTCGATTTCAATCTTGGATTGCTTCAGCCTTCTCAGCCTGGAGGAAGTTGACAGTTTACTCGCAGCTGTGTGCCAACCTCATGCAGCCCTGATCCGTGCCCTTCCTGGCTTATTAAAGCTGGCCATGAGGGGTTTTGAGGTGCCCTAAGGGAATTATCAACAAGTCCCTCTTAGAGGGACAGTTCCCTGGGGCACTGAAGGAAGCGATGGTTCGCCCTCTCTTGAAAAAACCATCTTTATACCCAGCTGAATTGGCCAACTATCGGCCGGTCTCCAATTTGCCCTATATGGGCAAATTGATTGAGAGGGCGGTGGCAGTACAGCTGCAGGGTTTTCTGGATGACGCTTAGATCCCTTCCAGTCCGGCTTCCGTCCAGGTCATGGGACGGAGACGGTGCTGATCGCTCTGA